AATAATAATAATAAAATAAAACAAATCATAGAAAAAAACCAGTCCATCCCTTCTCGTCATCTTTTCCACCAATCCCTCCCACTCACCGTCGTCTCCCTACCCCGCCTAATGCCGGCGTCGCAGCAGATCTCCGGCGTTGCAGCGTCGTCCCCACTAGATGATGTCATTGCAACAAATAACGAAACCAAGATCGAATAAATTTTGACGGACGAAGGAAAAGAAAACTCGATGTCGAAATCGGCGCCGACGGTGGCGAGAATCGTGGAGACTTGTAGAAATCAAGAGTTATAGAATGGTTTGATGATTATTGTCAATTGATCTGCACTCTCACGCTTCATTATTTTTTCTTCTTCGATTTTGATTTTTGAATCTTTATTTGGGTTTTAACTGGGAAATGGTTTTGGGAAACAAGGAAGAGCAGGAGGAAGGGATCTTTGTCAGATTTCTTCACTTTCATTTTTCGTTTTACTTTTGAATCCGAGGTACTGATGTACTTAGGTTTCACATATTTGTGGCAATGAAAAATGGGACTTTGAAAGGTTTGTTTCAGTTCGAAAACCTTATGCGTCTGATCATTTCAAGAAATGGAATTCAATTTATTGTTTGCTCTTTTCCAGAAATGGTATAATTTGAAATTTTTGATTCATTGATAGTATGGTTTTGGTTTTCTTGTAAATTGCAATTTGGGCACTTATTTTGTTTGCTGATGGTGATGTTCTAACATTGCTTGTTTATCGATTAGCAAAAATGATTGCTTCTGTTCTTTGCAGATGGAAGATTCAGTCGTCCTCATGGATTCTTTGTTTTACTTTCTTAATTTTATATAAAATCTCTTTTTTTTTTAATGATTGATATGTGTTAAATTTGAAGCAAAAAGACTGAGCTTACCTCTTTTCAAAGTCAGGTGCTTGCCGTGGCATAATATGCTAAAATGACTTTCTAACAAAATAAAATTAATAAAATAATTTTTTTTATTTTCTATAAAGAAAAATATTTACTCATTTTTTGTAAAAAGAGATCATTTTATAAATAAAAATTTTTAAAAAATTATTTTACTAATAAAATTTTTTAAAAGAGTTATTTTTACGGAGGAAAATCTGTCAAAAAAACAAACACCAATTGTAATTGGACTTGGTATGCAAATATTTCAAAATTTAAGGGGTCAATTGTCAAGAGTTTTCGTTTAGGGATTGATTTACCAATCGCAATAAGTTCAAGGGTACACATGCAAAAAAGCCTTTATATATATATATATAATAGCAAACATATAATTTTCTTTAGATTCTATCAAATTAGTTTATAATATAACGCATAAATCTTTATTTTCCCATAGCTATGGTCTTTATTCTTTTGGCTCCAATACTAATTCAATATTTTAACATTGAAAGCAAAACAAAATGAGAATAAAGGAAATAAGAATTTTCCGTAAGGCATTATGGCTTCTTTTTCATTGCAATTTTCCGCAAGGCATTATAGCTTCTTTTTCATTGTTCTCTTAAAAAAGCTTTATGTAGTGGAATATTTTGTAATAAATGGTAAGAAGATGATTAAGAACTTAAGAGTTAAAAATTTGAGTTTTGCTACAGTAAAAAGTTCTCAGAAACAGTCACATTTAACTTTTTTACTACAGTAAAAAGCTCTCTCTTTTTTGGAAAAGAATAAAACAAGTAGCAAAACAAGAGTTCAAAGATTGAGATAGAAAATGATATTTTAAGACTAATCTGAGCATTTTTTTTAATCAAAATTAATTACTTGTATTGACATAATATCATATTTTTTCACCTTTCAAATATACATAAATAACTATTTTTTTGGGAGTGAATTTTTACTATTTACTCTTACTTAATATCATTTTAACTAATATAGCTATTTGACTAAATCCAACTCATACACTCTAAGTATTTGTTCCTTTTTTTGTTTTTTTTTTGTTTTTAGTCAGTAATACATTTTATAATTATTACAAAGTACTTGTGTACTGTCAAGTGTTAACCTCAGAAATGTGTAAGCTGTATGAGGGCAGAAGAAAAGAGCAATACCATATATTATTATATGTGATTATTATCATTTTTATTTCAACCACAAATTCACATATCAATTTAACATATAGTAAAGCCTCACAGAATTTCACATATTACTTTTAAATTAATTAACAAACCAGTAGTGATCAGTATCATCAGTTATAAGAGAGAAGAAAATTCTAAACCTACAACATACCGGGTGTTAGGTGATTTAGAGGAATAACACTTTTACACAAATTGGATTTCAAACATACGTGTCGAGTGAACATTTTTAATAGAGAGGAGGTAAATATTCCTTAAAAAATACACGGGTTTAAATTTTTATTATTTTTTCTTGATTAATAATTTTTTTAGTTAAATACATATACTATGAAAAAAGTATTAATCAAGAATGAAAAATAAAAATCCATATCCATATATTCTTAAGAGTAAATCTACAATTTTCTCAAACTTTTTTTTTTAAGTCTAATTTTTATCTCAAAATAGTACATGTGAATAACTAGACTTAAAAAAGGTGATATCGAGCCCAAAACTTAATAATAATAATTAATAAATAAATAAATAAAAAGTGGTATTGAGCCTAATTAACACCAGAGACACACACATGACACTTATTGGGCCTAAAACTGCAGAACTCTGATTTAGACCTGCGATGGTTTGTCTTGAGGTGGAGGATGGGCTTGGAATGGAGGCGCAGGAGGCCCATAATACTGTGGGACACTCTCAGCCTGTGATCTACCACGGGCCCTACCTAGAAGGTAGAAAGCAAGGGCCACGATCAATATAAACAGGATCACCGGCACTGATAGCACCACTATGTACCCCATTTCTCACCCCCTTTTTTTTATTCCACTGCATTTATGAAATATAAATCACATTACCACAAATAATTGATAGTTAATAAATCCAAGCTTATGAAGCTTTGCAAATAACAGTTTTATAATTCAAGAGATAATTAGAAAGAAAACGCCTCATTCATTTCACCTAGTAAAAAATTTTCAAAAATAATCGTATTTAATTTTTTTTATTACAATAAAAAATTCTCACATAAAATCACATTTCAATTCAAATTAAAAATTTAAATCACGAAACTAAACGGGGTCATGAGAGTTAGATGAGACCCATTATTTGTGAAAGCTAGGAGTTTAACCTCGTCGAGTTGAATTCCAATATTTTCTTCTCGTGCCAAAATTTTCTTAGTTCTTAGTCTTGTGTTTAGCTCATGCAAATACTATTTTGGGAAACAAAAAAAAAAGGGGAAAAATATATTCTTATGTAACTGTTTGTTCTCTCCATCATGACAAACTTGATCAAATATAAAACGGCAAACTTTAGTCTGTAGAACAAAATTATACGAGTTTTTGAGGTTGATAGAAAGAGAACATAAACGTACCTGTTTGTCTTTGAAGAAGAGAATTCCAGATGAGAGAGAGAGAGAGAGAGATGATGATGAAGATGAATCAATATACCGAGAGAGAGAGAGAGAGAGAGAGAGAGAGAAATATAGTGAGAGAGAGAGAGAGAGATGATGATGAGGATGAATCAATATACTGAGAGAGAGAGAGAGAGAGAGAGAGAGAGGATGATGAAGACGAATCAATATAGTGAAATTACTGATAACCTTCACAAAATACAAAGAGGAAGCATTTGAGAAAAAGATCAGCCACCGAGGAGTGTGATTCGTCCACGTGGCAGACTGTGGTTGTGGGGTCTAGCTAGCTAACAAAGGGACTAATTCAATATTATTATTTATTTTTGAGGCCATCGTTATCTCTCACCGACTCCCCCTAATCCTCGCCCACGCCATTGATGAAGCTAAGAGCAAAGCAAGCTTATTTTTCAATTAAGCCAAGAAAAAACTTACTTTACCTGCCCACATTTTCAAAAGAGTACTTTACACAACTACCCTCTGAATTCTTTATAATTAGTTTTGATGGTATGGCAGTGAATGACGATTTATCGAGATCTTTTTGTATAGTATATAGATCAATTCTCATTATTTACAGTAAAATTAAAATTACGCTTTTTATTAATTTAGGTGACTTTAAACTCCCTGCATGCAAGTTGATGAAATTATGTATACGCTGTTTTCCGTTCCACTTCTAATCTCAGTAAATTATCAAATGGCCGTTAGATTATAGGCCAAAGGACAACACTTTTTTTTTTTTTTTGAAATTTCAAATTTAACATTTAGGTCTCGTTCACTTTACCGATTCGAATTTTTAGTTTTAGGTTTCTACAGTAAAAAGCTCTCAGAAAATATCACATCTAACTTTTTTTGCTACAATAAAAAATTCTCAAAAAATATCACATCTCAACTCGAATTGAAAACTCGAATTCGCGAAGTGAATGAGACCTAAATAAATACGAGTATAGCCTAATACATAATACATAAAACTGTACCGTAAAGTCACCCTTTGTGTCTCTTAAATTCTCGGTAATTTAACACTATAGTCCCCAACATATTTTCTTAAATTTATAAAACAATAACAATTAACTTCCATCATTGAAGTTAAGTTCTACACGGAATAACTATAAGCGAAATAACCGTAATTTAATCCCACAAACTTCTCGTAGAAATTTTTAAATATACTTTTTAAAATGAAACTATTTTATTTCTATTTCTTAACATTAACCTGTATATTTTTACCTTTTAAACTAAAACTAATCAAGAAATAAATTTGAAAAAAAATACTTTTAATAAGTTAAGTACTTAAAGAGGTAGAATATTTATTTTTATTTTCCTTGACAATTTGATCTCCCAATTAAATGACCAGGAAAACTTTTCATTATTTGAATTAAGTATTACACAATGGTTGGGTGGATCATTCCATGTGTGAAGAAGAATGATTTGTGTTGCCGAAAAGAAGAAACAAAAGACATTGCTTTTTGCTTGTTACATATGAAAATAAAATGAAATAAAATAAAGAAAAAGGCATTGCTTTTTTTAAAGGAGGATTGGCAAGATTGTAGAGTTTGAGGTTGGTAAAAAAGAAGTCACAGAATCGACCAACACAAATATTGGCATTGATCAACTTTCCACCACCCCCTTCAAATCATTTTCCTTTAAAATTATGCTGCAAATTACACGTCTCAAGTAATTTCTCAATCCTATGTATACATTAACATTACATGGAAATAAAAACCTTTTTTTCTTTGCAGCTGTTGACTTTGATACACATGTTGAGGTTGTGAGAGATCCTGAATACAACCGAGCACTCTACATCCAGAACATGAGCTATTACACCAAAATCTTATAGCTCAAAATCCCGGTAGAGGGGCAAATGAGACAAACAGATCACACAAGAGTTGAGACATACGGTGCAGATGTACTTGGAACCTTCCGTGAACCGGGCCCGTCTAGAGTGATGACTGGTTTGTTGGACAACCGCCGCCTGTAGCGCTTGAGGACGGACGCCAGATTTTCTTTCCCCTTCGGGAAAGCCACGTCACCAGCCGCCGTCCCCATCCGTCCCTTTCGGCAAGAGATTGCAATCTCGACGTCCTTGATTATGTCCAGGAGTGTCACTGCGGTTGTGCACTTTCCCCGTGCGGGTTTGGCAGCTGGAGGTAACATTCCATTTGAAACAGGCGGGCTTAGCCTCTGCTGCGCTGCTGCTGGGACATGAAGGCAGAAGCAAGGGGTCATCGGCGATCGAGGCTTCGAAAATGCCGGGTCAATGATCCCCTGATTCAAGAATGTGTACCACAGTAAAAATCAGTCCACTGACAATATCTTAACAATTATTTGCTGAATACAAATTGTCCAAATATGGAGTTGCAAGAAACAAGTAAATGAAGAGTACTTGCTTCTTGCAAGTTGTACCCAAGACCATAAGCGATGACATTTACGGAATAACAAAAACAAAATTGTCCTAGGATCATGTCAAGCTTGCTAAATTATTTTAAGTAGGCCATAAGAATTGAGTCACAATTATTTACCTGAAGGCGATTCAGTACATATGTGTACTTTCCCCATAGCTCTGGCCGACTTTCCATAAGTGAGAGGTCGAGAACCCGATGAATGCACCAAACTCCAAAGCTCACTATCAAATCTGATTTCCACACGCAGCCTTCTCCACAATGAGGGACCGAGGAAACAGCAGAATAGGCGAAACTTGCATCACTGTTCTTTAGTGAAGAATACTTCCTTTCTGGAGATAAGTACTGAGGCTCACCCATGTGGACCCGATTCATCTCTCTGGCTTCAGCTTCATAAAGAAACTTTTCCCTTGCAGCAACGCGATCAATAAGCTCCTCATCAGCCCCATCATTCTGTCTAAACAACCAGTCAGAACCTTCCAACTTCAGAAGCTTTACAATGCAATGTCTGAAAGACTGAAGAAGCTTTGCTTCCAAATCTGCAGGCGAAATAGCTTCTTGATTTACAGTACTCATCCTACTTCCAACTCTGCTATCAAAGGAACGAGCACTATCAGCCACACCGAATTGCTCAAATGGCTGCCTAGACCAGAGGGACCCAGTATCAAAACTAGAATTCATTGGCGCGGATAGAGCATCTCTGTAGACCTTTGATGGAGAGAGTTCATCAAATGCCAAAGGACCTCCCGTCCTGGAACCAGAATTTGAATACATGGATTGTTCATACCCAGTTCTGCCAACAGATGATCCAAATCCACTAGCACTCTCCCACTGAGGAATTTTATCAGATGCATATATATCACGGTGAATGTCTGGCAAGCTATGATATTTCTTGGTATTGGCTGAGGTCACCACTGTCTCAGCAGGTCCAGAAGGACAAAGAGCATAATATGGCCGTTCAGTCTGCATAAGACTATTTCTAGAAGCTATTAGACTCTGGATGCCGGAGACCTGAGCAGCGCTTAATCCACTTTGTAACTTCTGCCCCATAGCAAACGCAAGTGAATCTCTGTAGTTTGTAGCACCCAATGTAGAGGATTTAATGGCCTGAGACTGCAGCTGACCATTCAAGTTCTCAGAACTTCTTTCCTTTGCTAACCGACTAACATAAGAAGCAATCTGATAACCGTGCACTGTAGCTGGCTGATAATCCCCCCAAGCCTCAGAAGTCGGAAGGTTACGCACACTTGAATATCTTCTCTCACCAGCATCAAGAACATTACAGTTGGAATTTTGTGCATACGCATCCAACTGCATGTTGTTGGACCACAACGAAGACGCTCCCCTTTGGACATCATATGATGACTCTAAATTGCTTCGCACCCTCTGTTGTTCGGGAGAGTCATACAAACTTGAGTTCGTCAGAGGATCGGATCCTCTTCCTCCCACAGACGGGAAGTACCCAGAAATTTCCTTTGCAGTGGTATCGACTTTCAAAGAGGAAGCGCCAGCCTTTGAATCCGCCCCAAATAACACATCCAATCTCTTAGCCTTGGCTTCCTGAGTTAGTTGCCCATGGAAATCATAGAGTTGTCCCCAAAACTCATCAAGTACTGCAGCTAGTTGACGCCTTGCAGCACGACCCAGTCCTGCTAGTCTTGAAAGACTTCCAGCACCATTTCCCCAGTCGTCACTCTTCCCACTGAGACTCCTAAATGACCCTGGACCCTCAGATGAGAAAGACGGAGTCCCAGGAGCCCCTTTGGATAAGTCTTCAGCCTCCCAGGTATCTCCCTCGTCGTCATCTTTTTCAACTTGTAGATCCGATTCAACTCCAACTGTCTTTTCAACTGGGTGCTTTATATCAGTCTTCAATTGACTATTTTTCATTAACGTGATATCAGAAACTTCATTAACTACAGTTGAGACAGGAACTGCCTCTACTATTGATGCAGATTCCTCCTTATAGGTTGTTGAAGAGCTGGAAAATGCATTGTTGGAACTATTTTCTTCTACGGTGGTCGATTGAAGCTCATGATCAGGCTCTATGAGAGTCTCAGGCAACTCAAAATCAAAATTTGCAACTGTTACATCAGACTGACTATCCAAGGCCCTTCCTAGGACTGGTGTCAGTTCTTGCTTCGGCACACGTGCCTCTCCATGATATCTACTCTCAGTTATGTCGATATCATCTTTGCGGGTGAACGAATCAGTTATAGACTTTGGTGAATCCCAGTTCCACGCTTGAGCATCTAATGGAACGCTAGCAGACTTCAGTGGCGTAGCTGCCAGCCAAAGCATCAAACAAAATGATGCACAGACAATGATGAGAAGAACGACATAAGAAGCAGACATACTACTTCCCATATTCCACAAATTACCTACCCAATCACTATTCCCAAACACCATTTCTACAACAAATACAATCTTCAACCCAAGCATCCCAATAAATGCAATCAAGGTTAGAAACTCAACAATCTGAGGAACTTTGTAGGCACCCATTATTGGTCTTGATGCCGCTATTCGGAAAAGAGGGATCACAGAAGATGGAAGCAGCAATGCTACTAAAACTTGAGAGAATATAAGAAGCTGATACATTCCTTCATGTCCTGAGCTCCAAACACAATAAAGAGCTGGAATAATGGCAATAATTCTGATTGTAGCACAGTGGAGCCAACCAGGAATGTCCAGCTTCAAGAAATCACGAAGCACTACTTGTCCACCCACACCCCAACTCAATGCGGTGATTTGATTTGAGACAAAGAGAACAAGTAAAAAGGCAACAGGTGCTATTGGACCTCTAAACACCTGCATAATTTAACTTGGTTTAGCACGCATAATAAAACTTCCACATGAAAAGTTCCTAACAGGGAAAATCCAAACCTGTTCCACCACTGACATTGCATCCTGAAAGGTAAGCAAAACAAGGCCAGAACTGTAGAAAGCATTTGCTGCTGAGTTCATCAGCACGTAATTCACCACATAAATGCCACTGAAGACGCATAAGATGGCAAAAAAATGCTTGTGACACAAGGCATCCTTAGAAACGTTTTCTGGTCCATGCTGCTGCTGTGAGAATACAACACTGATATTTCAGAGGATTGATACACAAAATAACAATGGTAGTAATAAAACGAGAAGCATGGCCTAATTATTTATCAATGTTTGCAAAGCACTTCCAATCAACATAAGAATGAAGAAACAAAACTTTGAAATTTAGGTAGATTGTATGCGACTCGTGAAATGCCAAAGGAAAACATGCAAGGACGCGAGAGAGAGAGAGAGAGAGAGAGAGACAGAGAGACAGAGAGACAGAGAGAGAGAGAGAGAGAGAGTGAGTGAAATTTAGGTAGATTGTATGCAACTCGTGTAATGCCAAAGGAAAACATGCATGGACGAGAGAGAGTAATGATAAAAAGTTCAATGACTCGGTAACAAAGTATGAGCATAAAGACCTTAACAAGCAGACATGCACAACATATTTTTGCTTTGTACTGCCCACAAAAGAATAAAATATCCAAGAATAAGCTGTTTTGAGAAATACATTGAATTGATTATTAAACCAGTACATCACCCCTCAGAAGGCAAAAGATAAGGAAACCTTATGGGACGGCTCACATGACCATCTCCTCATTGAAAAGTTTCTGAAATATGAACATCACGAGAATCTAAATCTAAAAAGGGGAGAAGAATTACCTAGGATATATGGACACCAAGAACCAATAACTATTCATCTACCAGAAAGCCATTTACATAGACAGCACAAGGTGAAGACATCTATGCACACTTACAAGGTCATTCTGCTAAATAGGGCATACATGTGTGCAATAGAAGTGAGATGGATACAGGAAAGGAATGAGAGATAGAGGTACCTGTACAATTGAAGAATGGAGGTAAAAGTTGTGAGGCATTATACTTGCTCCGAGAAGACTCATTAGTGCAAATGCGCTCTCTCCGCTTAGTTTTGTTAGCATTCCATTCATGGAAAGCGTCATTTCTTGATGATTGATTAATACCCCAAGTACAGAAGAAAACAATATGAAGCCTGCTATGTATATGCACAGAAAGTTTACCTTGCCCATCTCCTAAAAATGGAAACCAAAGGAAAAGCTTAGTAGATAGTAACAAAAGGTTACTGTTCTAAAGGAATGCATGTAATTATACTTACCAGAAGGGAATAAACAGGAAATAAAATAGCACTAATAGCAGTCAAAAGGACACAAGTGAACAGGTCCCACTCAAACAGATGATTAAGTCCATGTGCAATGCCCAAGACCTAGTAAAATTGGAGTAATCATACACCAGGATATAAAGTTAAAAGTTTTGTAGCATGATTGCGGCCCACGCCTAAATTTTAAGTTCTCAAAAAAGATATTACCATGGTGAGGTCCAACAGAATCATAGACAGCTCTGTTTGCAATCCTAAAAATATGCATGTCCACTTGTCGTACTCATCACTGCAAATCTGTAGACATAATAAGAAAAGATGTAACAAGATGTATGCATATGGTTGATGTAAAGAGGGGGTGTTCAGTCAGCATACCACAGAGTCGATCAATTAACCAAATGCAATTAAATGACATACACAAGTTTGTTCGTGGTAGAAAATCACCAATCTTCAAAACCATACTAACGAACAATGAATACACTATTGTAATGGAAAATCCCCGTTGCAAATATACATCAATCAGTATTTTAATTCACTTTTTAATAAAGCGGGTACGGACAATGGCAGGAGACGACACTACAGAATCGTATATTACGATCAAAATCCATTATCACATGTTCTCCTCTCGTGACTTGTGCAAACAAGGAGTCTCCTCTTAGAAATAAATTAATACCTGGGCAAGATCCCTTCCAGTAACAACGCCAATCCGAGCAGACAGGTACTGACATAAAATAGCAGCAAAATTGAAGACAAGCGTCAAAGCTACTAGATCAGACCCAAAATGTGCACCTCCTTCAACAGTTGCCGCCCACTTTCCAGGATCAACATATCCAATAGCAACCAGAAGCACAGGTACAACAACAGGAACTAACCGATGGAGAACAGTTGGCAAACGGTTAGCATTAGAATTCTCAGCTTCCATATTATCTACCAATACTCAAACCACCATGAAACTACTCGTAAAACACTTCTGAGAAAAAGGGCCTTCCTTAAGTATCAAGCTAAGCAAATCATACAACTGCCAATCATATATTTCCAAGACAATGCAGCCTATCAATGATAAACAGGTCCCATTAAAAAATGCGCCAAGTTCATCACCTTTGGAGAACAAAAACACAATTATTCCAATGACAACCTGATAAAGCGATAAACAAGCTGTTGCAATGCAGGTGCCCTAATAAAACCTAAGGTAGCTTCTCTCCATAAGAGTCACCATAATAACTATGGACAATAGCTGTGATCATCAGATACCAATCTGATACTCTCAATCATACCAACTTGAATGCAAGTGTTCAATGAGTTCAAAAGCCTGGGATATTCTTCGTTCATCTCCTCAACATGATTAGATGCTTGCTCCAATCCAAAATGAGGTTTTGAGGTCAACAAGTTGAATTTGCACTAGTTCCACAAAACAAGCACGATTTAAGGAATCAATTCCCCATCGGAGCGATTTTATTGCCAAATCCTGATTCATTACAGTCCATCAGTTTGACAAAAGACTGAAAAAAATAAAACCAAATCAAATTAACAACAACAACAACAAGATATAGCATTTGATCAGGGATTCAGATTATAATATAACAGAATTTAGTCCTTAAAACCATTTACGATCAAAGAAAAGAAGCATCACACGGTCCATAACAACAGAACCATCAGAAATTCCAGAAATAGCAATCAGGACAAACAAGCGACTTGGTCAACTTATAGTCATCACTAACTAAACAACTTATTTCACCAGGATAAGTTTCATCCCAACAACTTCATATAAACTAATTAACGAGAATCCTCAAGTAAATACATTAATGAAAAAATGAATTCCATAAGCGTCAATCTGCTAATCTAGCTAAAATTCATTCTACAAAAAAAATATATATATGTATATATAAATATATAATATATCTTTAAAAATTCACCAAAACAACAATCTACGAACCAAAAATATTGAATTAAGACCCGAATAAAGTAACCGAACCCCAAAGAAAAACCCTACTAAAAAAAAAGCCATTTCAGATCTTAGAACAAATTCATTAGAAAATATATATAAAAAAACCTACGCGATTCGACTGCCAAATCCCAGAACTAAAAGATCATCAAAACCAGCTTCCATGGATCTGATTGACCTCGAAAAAATAAAAAAGTCTCAAGATTTAATCCCAAAAAGGGGAGAGAAAAAAAACCCCATTTTTGGCACAAACTCCGAAGACGATAAGGTTGAACTTCAATCAATCAAGTTTACAGTACTTCAACAAAACGAAAGAAACAAACAAACAAAAAAAGTAAAAAAGGGACTGGCTTTGAATTCGTACGGAATTAGGGTTCTTGGAAATGGATTACCTTCTTTTCTCTGCTTATTATCCAGTTGTTGAAACCCAAAGAAAGCAAAAAACAGTGGGTAGACAGATCTCAGTAAAGCTTTAAAGACAACACACGACTAAAGTGTATTGAAACTCCTACATATGTAGATATAGAGAGAGAGAGAGTGGAGAGAAGAGAAAACAGAGACGCTCAATTTTCAGAGAGAGAGAGAGAGAGAGAATGGGTGTGTAAAAGAGCAAATTATGGGTGGGCTTCCAGAGCCATCTTGAAGAGAGAGAAAGGGGAGGAGAGAGAGAGAGAGGGCATGAGAGTGAAGTGTAAAAAAGTCTTGGACAAAAATAAAATCATTAAATTAATTTAGAAAAGTATTAAAGAAATAGTAATTAAAAGGAGAAAAGGAAAAAAGATAAGCTCTAAAAGACAGTTGGGTTTTTTCTATCTCACTTTTTCATTAATGGCTTACGCATATGCTTTCTTTGTATGAGTTCCAAAAATGTAAAAAAACAAAAAAACAAAAAACAAAAAAGAGAGAGAGAGAGAGAGAGAGAGAGAGAGAGAGAGAGAGAGAGAGAGAGAAAAAAGCTTTTTTAAAAAAAATTTAATTCTTGTCTAATTAATTTTTGTTAGGGTTTGTGATTGCTACGTTTTCAGGAGAGGAGCTTAAAAATCAGTGCCAAAACGGAGAGGAAGTAATTGCTTTAGTTTTAACAACGGTTACGGTGAGGATTTAAGGTTAATTTTGGTGTTTATTTCATGAAACATTCTTGGTAATAATAACTAATTCGCGCGCGCGTTTGTGATAATTCTGTGCATAATAACTAATTATGCCCGCGCATTAATAATTACAGGTTTAGTTCGGTAACAATTTCATATTAGTTTCTTATAAAACATGGAAGCCGGTAACATGTAAAATATAAATGGGGTCATTTCAGATTTATTTAGACCCCATTTATTTCACTTATTTAAGTTTAAAATTTGAGTTTTGTTACAGTAAAAAATTATCACAAACAGTTACATCTAATTTTTTTACTACAGTAAAAAATTCTCACATAAAGTCACATCTCAACTCGAATTAAAAACTCGAATTAACAAACTAAACGGGCCCTTAGTTCGCTTATTCGAGTTTTTAATTTGAGTTCAGATGTGACTTTATGTGAGAATTTTTTACTGTAGTAAAAAATTAAATGTGATTATTTTTTAAAACTTTTTATTAATTTTAAATTCAAATCGATAAAATAAATGGAGTCTTCGTAACTCGTATAATGTTAAGAGCTTATAAATTTTTTTAACTTTTTCTTGCACTCTTTATATATATCTATATATATATATATATATATAAAGTCGGGAATGAGCCGGCAACTTCTTTCAAAATTCTACCTCAACTAGCTTTCTCTTGCAATCTAGGGATTAAATTCAAATCTTCTCTTATTTAATAATACAATAAAAACATATTTTTTGGGGGGGAAAAAAAAATTCTGCATTAGCGAATTTGAATCAATATTTCTAGCACGCGGGGTAAAAAAAATGTGCCACTCTGAGCTTTTTAGCAAAGACATGTGGTCTACATATTGCTTCACTCTCACCCTTTAAAGCTGCCTTTTCAAACTTTTGGGGGAATATATATATTCTAACAGATTGTTACCCTTGTTTTTATGAAATTCTCAATTAAGCACAAAATTGGATTTTGACCTCTTTACAATAATGTCTATGTTAGCTATTTTTAACTTTTGTGAATACTTTTCAAAGGCATGTCGATATAGCAGACAATTTTATATAATTGTCAAGAAAACAAATGATTATTTTATTTAATCAATTTGAATTTTCAGTTTTAAGTTTTTATAATTAAAAATTTTTTAAAAAATGTCACATTTAATTTTTTCTGTTACAGTTAAAAGCTCTCAGAAAATGTCACATCTCAACACGAATCCGCAAAACGAACGAGACCAAAATATATTGGATATGAACTTTTGGAATTGCTTGAATTGAATATTTTTGGGTACATTTAAAAAAATAGAATGAGAAAAGAACAAATTGATACTATTGCTATATGTGCTCACAATTGTTCAGACAATGACTTCAACGGAAATTTGATAACGTTTAAAAAATGCATTTCAAAAAAAAAAAAAAAAAGAAGAAGAAGAAAAAATTGAAAAAGAAGAAGCAATCACATGATCCCCAACAAGTTTGATATCTTAAAATAAATACTCCAGAAAAATGTATTTCTTATTGCGTCTGCTATATCTAGTCACTTTTTTTAGGGATTTTTATAGTCACTAGCTTTATAATATAAAGAAAACAACAAAGGAAATTTTTTTAAATAAGTATATACAAACCAGGTTACTCCACAACACTTTAGACACTAACTAATGCAGCCCTTTTTTTCTGAATAATGCAGCATTCATTATATAGTCTCTTTAACACAATATATCAAATTGTTTGAAATTGTTCTATTACTTAGGCCTTATTCATTTCACCGATTCGAGTTTTCAGTTTTAAGTTTTTACAGTAAAAACTCTCAGAAAAATGTCACATCTAACTTATCTAACTTTTTCTGCTACAGTGAAAATCTATCAGAAAATGTCACTCTCAGCTCAAATTGAAAACTCGAATCTGCGAAGTGAACGAGTCCTTATTATTTTAAATTTAGCATAAAAAGTTTGACAAACACAGTATTATTCCAAAGGATAATACCCACCTCATTAATGTCTTTATAAGATAACATATTTTTAAAGGAAGTTAGATTAATCTTAAATGCAACAACCATTGATGAACGATCACAAGCCCATTACTAACTTTTACATCAATATAAGTGTTATCACTTGTAAGTTAACATGGAGGCTGGAGTTGCAAATAACATATATATATATCATGGAGGCTGGAGCTACCCATATATAAGTCTCTTTTAAAAATATTCTCAAATCATAATCTTATGGCTCATTTGGTTCACTACTCTCTCACAACGAATTTGAATAAACAAAGTTTCCGTAAATAGATTCTCTTATAAAATTTAAATTCAAATACAAAATCACTGACCACTTAAATGCGTGAACTAAACGGACAATTAACGAATCTAATTTTAAAGATTCTTGACCGATTAATAATTTGTGCGCGTTGGATCCATTGCGGTATGCAAACTGGACCAATGCTTCAAGTTTATTAGATCAGGCACTTTCCATTCTATTGATGGCCATGGGATCTTTTCTATAGACGATAAGGATGGGGCAGAATGACTCCAGTGATCATCTTCTTTACAAGAGAAAAAAAAAAAAAAGTTCAAACACATAAAAAAGTTCAAACTTTCCTTGTAATAATTAAAAAAAAAGTGAGGGAAATATATATGTGTTTGACATTAGCTCAAAACTTTTGAAACGTGATTGTAGACTTAGCCTAAAATTTATTATTCATGAAATTGAATTCAATGTTAAGGTCTAGAGTTTGAATCTTTAGTCCCGGTACAAAAACTTGTAAAACATGTCATTATCCCTTTATGAATTTATAACTTTGTACTGAGGTTCAAATATGTCAAAATCAGAAATCAAGTTGTAGATCAGACAAAATATGAGCTACCTTTTTTCTACATTTGTTTTTCCCCTTTCAATAAATGGGCGTGTATGTGTGTGTATATATATATTGTTAGTTTACCAATCCATCCCAAAAGTTTAAGCTATTAGGAGGTAGGCCAACAATAGTTTTATACTTTAACACTTCCCCTCACGTGTGGATTGGACAATGGACAATCGTGTGTGTAAATTAATTAAAAAGCCCAACACGTGAATATTTAAGCCCAACACGTGATGACAATTTAAATGTGAATAAAGAGTGAAATTACAGGGGTTTGAACTTAGGACCTCCCGTTCTGATACAATGTTAGTTTACCAATCCATCCCAAAGCTTAAGTTTTTGGGATAGATTTGTAAACTAACATAAATGTGTACCAATCTTTCTATCAATTTCATATTTTGGTGGCTCATTAACCTATGCTTAGCAATTAATAGTCCAGAAAATTAATGTGTCAGCCCAAAGAAAATAATCTCAACCATAAAAATCCAACTTATTAAATTGGTACAATAATTAAAATTTGAGAATTATCCATAGCAGAAAATTAATGGAGAGCCAAAGGTCCCATGATGATTGAGGTGTGGTACTTCAACTTCAAGAAAGGGCTTTGACCCTTTTAGGTATATATTGCCAGACCCAACTATTGTCAGCATCAGAATATATGAATTTAAAGCCTCTTAAATTGACACAATTATTGATTCCCAAATTCACATAGTTTCTAGGAAGGAAAATCAAATGAGGGTTTTCATTCAATTTAAAAAAAAAAAAAAAAAATGAGGCCTTTTTTTAGGACAGTGTAGGAGCTCTATTTTTTATTTTTTATTTTTTATTTTTATTTTTTTTTTTTTTTTACGTGATTGCCCATTTTAGTAAAGAAGTCGTATAAGATATTTTTAGTTTCCAGTTTGAGTCTTGTTTTTCGACCAAAATGCTCCAAATCTTGAAAAGAAAAGAAATGATAATTGGTATTGGATCAAGACTTAGTTATATGTCTTTTCCATTCTAAAGAAATGATAATTGGTATTGGATCAAGACTTAGTTATATGTCTTTTCCATTCTACATGAATTGTTTGAACAATTCAAATCAAACTACTACCTAAAAAAAAAAAGGAATGAATTGATATAAAGAACAGTGTTACAAATAATTGCAATTAAATATAACTGAAATATTGCAGCATCACTCGAAAAAATCCAAAAAGAAAATCGTTAATTACTTGCCCATGTGCCATGTTTGAGCAAAGTGACACGGATTAACGTAATTAGTGGGGTTGCTAAATGCTAAAATGCACCTTATTGGACTTCATGATCATGACTCATCTTCTTCATATCTAGGAGTAGATATATTCTATGGTTTCTTTATTACAAAATAACAAAAAAGGAGAAACAAATAGCCTAGGTAGTAGCAAGACAAAAACATAAAGTTATAAAAATAATGTCACTCACAATAATATTTAAGACGTCAATATTCTTGTATGGTAAAAATAAAATGCAATTAAACAACTTTTCTAATGATACTAAATTAAAGACATACAAAAAATAATTAAAAAAAAAAAACTGATCTCTGATAGTTGAGTCCACAAAGTGTGATGTGTCCCTTGTGGTATGCAGGCTTTGTTCTCTCCCTCTTCTAGTCGTTGGCGGTGCAATGTATTTTGCTGCAATTCCTTCTCCCAATCTATAAATTTTCCACTTTATATATATTAATATCACGATAGGAAGCATTATTATATGCAAAATTTAATGCAC